TATTAAATGACGATTTATGATAGTCATGTTCGTAGAACTGCGACAAACATAAGATTACATCTATGCCGTTAATGTCAATTGTAATTGTAATGTAAATTTGTATGATAACTGATGATAGCTAAGTAAGCCGAAACGTTTCATCAATTTTTTATTTATTAAAATATTTTTTATATTAATTTAAACATCTAAAAAGTATGCTATTGTTTATTGGCCTAACTCTTCTTTTACTTTATTCATTAAGTCACTTTACTTACGGGTGGCTATCTTGATGTAAGTTAGCATTCTAAGAATCTGCGAATGCACTACACACACACACACACACAATTGAGTTGCAAGATATTTTGCGACAAGTGAACGAGAAATTGCAGATCTTGATGGGCAACGTCCCCATCGACGTCTGTTCGTTCACTGAGTACAGCCGCAGCTCTCGATCCATGTTCTCACAGCCGTTCTACAAAATCTTCGGGTGATAACACCACTCAGACCGCTAGATAAAGACCAAGATCGAGTCGAGTGACCTATTATTTATTATGGATCCGTGGGAGGAATTGCTATCCTGGTGGACTGCTTATCGAAGATCGATGGTGTACTTACCGGAGGGTTAAACATGTGTAACGGAAATGTTCCGCTACGTTTCTTCCACATCCTGAACATAGTTCTGCTTCATGCAAGCTGGTCTATGATCTTTCAATGTGCTCTCAAAAAAAAAAAATTATTAATTTTATTTCGACGGCATTAGTAATTATAGCTTCCTGTGTGTATAAGAAGTGTATAAAAAGTAGGCTAAAACCGAAAATTCCGTATTTTCTTTTTTAGCTTTCTTATCGATAGAACAAAAAAATACGCTTAAATCTGAAATATAGAAATACTAATATACTATTTTTATAAATAATTATACAGATTGCTTATTTTTATTAAACATTATTATTTTCTAATTAATACTGTTAATTTATGACAAATTAATAAATTAAAACAAATATAAGTTAATAATCTATATTTTATATAATAATTATATAAATTATATATAATTATATAAATATTAATTTATATAAATATATTATATTAATATAAGTTAATGATCTATATTTAATATAATATCTGTACTAATTAATTTTTACGGATAAAATAAGTGGTAATGAATGGACAAGACATTTTTTATATCAAGCTAAAATATGCATAACATTCCTTTACAACAAGCAATACACAAATTAATTAATTAGCATTGATATAACTGATCTATGACTATGTCACTTTGAAATTTATGAGGATGTTCTGCGATTCTTCCTAATATCGTATTAACCCTTCTATCAGACGAGAACATAGGTCACGCGTCTGACTATCGCCTGTTACAATTTTATCAAGTTTAATACCATGTTTTTATTTGTATAGCGATATATAAAACGTATTAATCGTGGAATGCGTGCTAATTTGCACGTACTAATTTTAGTTCGTGCTAATTTGCACGTACTAATTTTAGTACGTCCATCTCGAACATTTTGATAGTAATATATTTTTGTATAATTATGCATTACGATTAATTAACAATTGAAAAACAATGAATAATTTTAAAATTTAATAATTAATGATTTTATTATTTTTTGTCTCCTTTTCTCTCTCTCTCTTTATCTCCCTCTTTTTTTTTAAATTTATTATTTTTGTATATATATTTATTAAAATTATTAATAAGTTATTAATATTTATTTATTTTACGTTTATTTTTATTAAATTTAACATTTAAACATTGTTTTTTAAAATTTATATTAAATAAAATTAGAAAGAGAAATACAATTCTATGAACTTAATCAGCGTGAGATAATTAATTTACTTCTCATTGTGTGTTTCATTGATATTTTTTAAAGAAACCTTTTGTTGCATTCCATTATGGATATTTATTACATTGGAGTGCAAGCACTTTTGAATTGAAGCCGCACTTGTAACTAATTATGAAGAAAGTATGCAAATTAAATGTTTGTAATTTTTTATTAGTTCATTAAAACTCAATCGAAATAACTTAATTAGTTTGTATCTTATAAGGTTAATTCTGAAATAAGAAATAAATATCTAGAAAATAAATTCGTTTTAAAGAAGAATATATTTACTATAGTTATAGAAAAATAATTAGAAAGTATTAGATCAAAATTCATAGATGACAGAATGAAAGCTCGCGTTCACTATCAGGCGCGAATTTCAACGGTTTTTAATAATACGTAACACTAATTAGGTCCAATATTATTATTTTTTTAATTAAACAGAACAAGTTACATGATCATGTAACTTTCCCAATCGCGAAAATGTGAAATATTTTACGTGAACTTTCTCGCTATGAATCTTCTTGTTGGAAAATCTGAGGAATTAATAACTATTCTCTAAAATTAAGCTAGATACGCAATCAAAGGAAGAACAAGGAACAGAGAATTATTTTATAATCTATATCAGCAACCGCATACTGTGGAATATACATGGAATAAATATTGTTTCTGATGGATTAAAATTCTTATTCTCTCTTCCTTGGAGTCTTATTCTCAAAAAATTTCGCATACGAAAACGTACGAAAATACTATAGTATATACGTTATGTATACTAGAAATTTAATTCTCTGGTGTTTTTGTATCCAAAATTTTTCGAGAATAAGGCCCCTGTTCTTTATTTCTTTGATTGTCCCATTCAAGAAATTTAGAACAAGATGCCTATTCTATAAGAGTGGGAGCACATACTTTTGCATAACACATAAGGCATAAAGTACAAGAAAATCAACTAATTAGGCTTATATATATACATAATTATATATGTATATTTTTATTTATACATGCTTATATATGAGCAATTTTTCTCATTTCTTCAAACTTGATTTTTTGTAAAAAAAAACAGTGTAAAAATTATCCTTTTAATTATTTTTTGTGTTTCCTTCTTATTATAATATATATTTTCATTTTTTGTATTAAAGAATAATTTTACAAAGAAAAGAAACATATATGGATATATATATGGACATATTTTGCATATAATTATATATAATTATATGTGGAACTTTTTTTCCCGGGATGTATCAAATTCGGGCCTCTTTCTGTAACTTTTAACGATACCATTACATAATTGTTATCGCGCAAATTTTACTATACATATCTGCGCAACACGACGATATAACAATATCATTATTGTTGTTAAAAGCTTATTCAGACAAATTTCCATAGCTGCATAGCTATATGCATAAAAAAATTACCCAATCGCATTTGTATCATACGGATGCACGTAAAATACGATTGGATAATTTTCTTTTTACGTATGGTTGTGCAGCTATGTTAGTTAATAAGTTTGTATGAATACATCTTCAGAGTTAGGGATACTTTTGGATAACGCTACATAGCGCATAAGGCATAAGAAAATAAATTAGTTAAATCAATATTCATAGTTATTATTTCAAGTCCGTTTCAACTAATGTCTGCAGATGCTAATATGGTTCTGTAATTGGCTTATGATATCTTAAGGGGTCATGTCACCTTTGAGGTTTTAGAACGATAATTTAGATACCTAAAGTTTGGGATTTTTTTTAGGGTAAATGGATAACTTTATTTAAAATCTGCTTAGAGGACAATATTCTACATATATAAAAAAACTAAAAAATATTTTTTAAATTTTTCTTATGTCTAAAATGGCGGCGCACTGGCCTACACTTGCGAAATCCCTTTTTTTCTATCGGTGTACAGGATTCTAGGTACAAGGTTTGACCTTGAACAAAACACAAAAAATTTTCATTATTTACATATTAAAAACTATGGAAGTACGTAGGGATTTTTCTAAATATTAATTTTTCTCGAAATGGCTGCTTTAAGAAAGACTTGAACTGACAAAAAATATACATTTTTCGTAAAATAGCTGCCATTTCGAGAAAAATCAATATTTTAAAAAATCCCTATGGGTTTCCATAGTTTTTAATATGCAGATAATGAAAATTCTTTGTATTTTGTTCAAGGTCAAACTGTGTGCCTGCAATCTTGTACACTGATTTCAAGATTTAGAGAAAAGGCATTTGGCAAGTAGGCCAGTGTGCCGCCATTTTAAACATTAAAAAAATAAAAAAATAATTTTTTTACTTTATTAAATATGTACAACAATGTCCTTTAAGTAATTTTTTGATAAAGTCATCTGTTTACTCAGAAAAAAATCCCAAACTTAGGTATTATTTTAGGATCTCAAAGGTGGCTTGATCCCTTGAGACTTATCGTTAGTCTTAGTTTACACCGCACGTTATTAACTAGTAACTTTTTATTAAATTATCTTAATCTTGGCAATGCGTGTAATTATCTTACAAATTTTATAAAATCAGTCAGTATAAGTTTGTCGAGAGGAAAATATTACTTAATTATAATTGCTTTATTGCGATTTCGTCATATATGAAATATCAAACACAGGATATAGTCTCGCAATCAACGTGCTCATCCTGTATTCACGAGAGAAATACGAGATTTTCGTAATCAGATTTAACAGCAAGAATGTATTTTATAGAAAGAGAGAGAGAGAGAGAGAGAGAGAGAGAGAGAATATAGTTATATTCTGGTTTCATAATAAATATTTTATCACATTTATTCATACACAATACATTTTTCTTAAAGCTCACGTTGATAAAATAAGATAAAAAGAACATATAATCAAGGAATAAATAAGTTTTCTTTTATAAAATAAATAAAAAGAATCAAATAATTACAACTACAATAGGTTTATTTCTGTATTATGATAATTTAATTTCCAGTGTTAAAATAATTAAGAACTATAAGCGCAGCGAGACAATCATTTGGCATCGCACAAAAGGTACACTCAAAGAGATGCAAGTATCGATATCATGCCCTTTTCTAGAAAAAAATAACATTCATTTTACTTCGTATGTCAAATTAGTATTGATAGAAAAGATTTAAAGACTTACCTGCTAATTTTACTATTAATTGTTTTCTTTATCTTGTGTTTCCTTTCATTCTTTTTTTAAATTTTATTCTGTTTGCGTTTTCTCTTCTTCTTTTTACATTTCTTTTAACTCTTTTGTTATACATACACCATGCACACGTCGTCGTCATCGTTCTTATTAATACCATTAATTTGAATTGATTTTCTTATTTTGATCTTCAAAATATCTCTTTTTCTTATTTATTTATTTTTATTTAAGTTCTTCTTATCTGTTACATTAAAAAAAAGTATTATCGGATAAAGGTATTAAAATAAAAATCCAAAAGAATTAATATAAGCAAGCTTACCTTGATAGACGTGATGGAAGCAAAATGATGATTAGTTCTTTCGTTCTTTTTCAGCTATTGAAAGTCGAATTTTCTTTAATATGTCGATCGGCGAAGTCTTTTTTAACGATTGTAAAAGCTGAGTTTTCTTTTTATTTAATGTTACGTTAAAAAAAGTTACCACCGGATGAATGTATTCAAAGGCTAAAAGAATTAATATAAGCAAACTTACCTCTGGCAATTGCAGCAAAATGTTGATTAGCCCATTCTCTCTCAGCTAATGAAGGTTGAATTTTTTTTAATATATTGTCCAGCGAAATCTTTTTTAACGGTTGTAAACGTTCAGTCTTCTTCTTATCTACTGTTACGTTAAAAGAAGTTACCATCGGATAAATATATTAAATTAAAAAGCCAAAAGAATTCATATAAGCAAGCTTACCTTTGATAGACGTGACGGAAGCAAAATGTTTATTAATCCGCTCTCTCTCAGCTAATAAAAATTGAATTTTTAAAAATATATAATATATAATTTTAATATATAATTTTTAATCGATCGATGAAGTCTTTTTTAATGGTTGTAAACGTTGAGCTTCTTCTTATCTGATGTTATAAAAGAAGTTACCACCGGATAAAGATATTAAATTAAAAGGTTAAAAGAATTAATATAAGCGAGCTTACCTCTGGCGATGGCAGCAAAATGTTGATCAGCCCGTTCTCTCCAGGCTAATGAAGGTTGAATTTTCTTCAATATTTCATCGATCGGTGAAATCTTTTTTTTTAACGGTTGTAAACGTTGAGTTTCCCAACTTTTCTGCTTCTTAGAACAGCTATTATTTTTTTTGCTTTTATTGCCTTTGTTGTTATCCATACTATTTCAATTTTCTTATTTGGTCTCAAGTCGTTCGGTAAAAATTGGTTGATTAGGATCTGTGCGGATGCGATAAAGAAATCGATTAATTACAGTCTTTCTGTCCGATCACAGTCTTTGTAAGTTTTATTCTCTTATCAGGAGACGCGGTATTGTCTCGGCGTCAAGTATGGCTACTGAGACTGTTATATTAGACATGAGACACCGATTATATACCCGTGTGCGTCAGTGCCTACAAGTGTCTATAGTGTCTACCGAATCATGACATTTCGTTTTACGATCGATCGCCTGACTTGTCCTTCAGAGAGCTTGTTTTATCCTATTAATGTTTACATAAATACATGTAAACCTGTTAGCTAAACCTCATATAAACCTTATTATGAAATGCAATACAATAAAACGATATTTACGAAACCTCAAGCTCTTGTTATTTTCATCAATGCCTGTCTGTCTCGTTCGTTTTATGTCATCGTCTCTATGTCGGCTCTCTATCGGCTCTATGTCATCGTTTTTTCTAATGTCGAACAGTTGAGCGGATTTGTCAGCATTAATATGTATATATTTCTTCTTAATATTCTCGACAGAATAATTTTTCAGTTGGAGTAGTGGCGACGCAATTGCAGCACCTAAAATTTATAGCAATTTCCTCTTTTTAAGTTTCCTTTTTTTATTTTTTTCCTTTGTCTTCACGACTTTTTCTTTCTTTCGTAATTTATATTATGAAACAAGATTGTTATAAATTAGCAAAATATTATAAATGTGTAAATAATATGACGTTTATCAAATTAATTTATAACAATTTGGACTTATAAAAATTTTAGTTTTCAACATTTTTATAAAAATCAAAATTGATGCTTATGTTACAAAATGATATCTATAATTTAACTAACAGAATTTATAAATTTTAAACTAAAATGTCTTTTAATCGATATTAATTAATATTCTATATTAGTATTTGATTACAATTATCAATGAAAAGAAGGGAAATAATTTATAGAATTTGAAAGATTACTGCATATACTTTAATTTTGATATATGAGTACTTAAATAAAATCTTATCAAAATGAAGATTCGATGAAACTTTAAAGATTTTAATGAAAAGATAAGACTTTATTTAAGCACTTATATATCGAAATTAAATTATTTGTGGTATTCGATAAATTATCTTTCCGAAGTTCCATACATTTCGCATTAACATAACCGTTACACACCTCCGTTATTGTGTGATGTTAATGTTATTGATAGACTCAAACATCTTCAGCTTTTTTAATTCAAAGTATGATCTCATATAAATAATTTATTCACATACATTAAGATGAAATGTCAAATATGACAAACATAACAATATGCATACGTATTAATATTCTGGTCGTAATAGTCATTTTTCTACATCGAATTATTCTGTTGATAATTTCGTTTAGCTTAATTCAACACCCAATTAATGACTTTAAATTTAATTGTGTACCTTGTCCGATCCAATTTCATTCGTCAAAATATTGATTAAATGCCGAAATTTGTATGCTGGATATCAAAAAGAAAACATGATAAACTGATTAAACGCAATCTCATATGTTGTTCTTTTGTCGCTCGTTAATTCAGGTTAGTTTTCTTAACGGTTATCAGGAGACGCGGTGACCTCCCCCGCCAAGTATATTTCGCTTAAAACCGTACCAAATCAAAGTGCTGATGTACATTATGCACTCGGCCAATTATATTTTCTAGAAATTTATTAAGAAATATACCAGACAAAAACATGGAACGTAAAAAGGAGACTGCACCTGATTTGGAGAGAGAGAAGGCAAGATCGTTCAAAACGAAAGTAGAGCAGCTTGCTGAATTAGATGAGATAGTTTTGCCCGAGACTATCATCGCTGTCGGAGATGTTACGAAAGATATGCCCAAGGATGATGCGCCGAGCAGCGACGAGTTCGATGAGAATCAGGAGAAGAAATATCGGAACTTGAACGATATGCTCGATTTACCGGACGATACTTACTCTCTTACTAAAATTACAGCTGAGTTACCCTTGTGCGCTAAGTACGGCGTTCGTTCCGGCCTGATTCACTCAAACATGCCGCATTTCTCACCGTTATCCAGAGGTTATCAGGTAATCATGATTACCTTGAGTCGACGATGTGCGCCTCATTTAAGGAATATGCTTTTCAATGTCTCTTCATATTAAAATAATTCACGGAAAGAACGATTTTGTTGAAAGATCTAAAAATTTTGCTAAAAACAGATCTAAAAATAATTTTTTATTGAATCATCAAAATAATTTGTTGGAAAGTTAAAACTGATAAGTATTGCTGTAAAACGTTTTGATATTTTAGCAATTATTTTAACTTTCGCATAAAATAATTTTGATTATTGAACAAAAATTATTTTCAGATCTGGATTCAGCAAAATTGTTCTTTCCGTGTTCGCAAAGCATTTTTGCATTATACATTCTATGCGTTCTTCTTAACGCAAATTAATTTGACAATTAAATTAACAGTTTAACGCTAAGTAATTAAAACAGTTATTTTTGAAATACAAATATTGTTAAACGTTGCCTCGCAGTTTCTTATTTCGCAGCTCTAATAATAAACAGGGTGGCGCTATAGCGATTGCAGCTTTTGCCACGACCGCGATTAACAAGCCCCACTACTGGAACGAGGCGGTGATCGATCAAATCGTCGAGGACGGCGACACTTTTTACTGCGAGTCCTACAAAGACGTGAACACGGTCGATCGCCGGACAATGACCATCCTCGACTTGAAAAGGACCCTTCTCCTGCAGAAGAAGTTTAATGTAAGAGTCGAGATCGAGGATCCGGCGTACGCCGGGAAGTTCCGTTCGCACAATCCGACGGAGCTTCATCTGGCGAAGGCGTTGGAGCTGTTCTTCGAGCGGCACAACGCCGGGATCTTGACGTCGCCGGTGCTCAATGTTGCGATCTGGAGAGATTCGAAGTACTACTATATTTTTGACGGTCAGGCGCGACACGAATGCGGCAAGCCGGCGACCGATCGGGTCAAGCGCGACGGATCGGCCAAGCTGTTCTTCGTGAAGGACTTGATGGGGCTACTATTTATTATACTCGAGAAGAGTAACGTGCTAAACGAGCCCTTTGTGATTTACCCGATATCGATCAGCGACGTCGAGAAGATTTCGCCGGAGGACGCCAAGCAGGCCGTGATCGAGAAGCCGCGAAGAAGACCGAGCGGTTATAAAATTTGCCATAAGGACCGAGCCGTGGTGCAGGGATCTTATCATCTGACGCATCCCGCCATACAGGAAGCTCTTCGAGGTAAAGGACATCTGATCATAGCCGTGGCGGCCTTGATATACTCCCGGCTGATCCGAGCCAGCCAGTGGACGACCGCTTTGCTCGATATGATCTTCAATCTGTCCAACATCTATCTGATCGATCTGGTCAAGGTTCTGGAGAAGAGGCTCGACGACGAATTCGAGCTCCGTGTGAACGACTTGTTGAGCGACGTTATCCTCGGAGTGTACTCCGCCAAGGTGAAGGTCGACGGGATGTCGCAATATGCAAACGTAATATCAAATCACGCGGATCAGAAGGATAAGATTACCATTGACAACGCCATGGAGGAATTCTTCAAGACGCAGGAAATTGGATTGCTCGAGATCAAGAAGATCTTTTACGCGATCTGGAAGAACAGTGACGCGTATTACTTCCTCGATCCATTCGCTTGCGACAGCGAGGGCCTCAGGATCGATTACAGCGACAAGGAACGCGCGACACGTGATAACGCCAGAGATGCCGCTTGCGTGATCATGAGCGGCACCATAGACGAGATGGTGGAGACAATACTGGAGAATACTGACAGCGAGGAAAGCGATCCTTTCGTGATACACGGAGTCAGGGTGCTCTACATCAAGACCGGAGTGACGCCGGGTGGC